TTGTTTGGTCTCCATCGTCACCTCTGTCTTAATCCCCTGATTCGCTGCTCATAGGTAAGAGTGGGGGCCTCAAAAGCATCCTTGGGTGCTGAGCGGGCTTGTGGGTTCTGAGCCTCATGCTGCGGTGGCCTGGGTGGGCTGGTGGTGGGGAGACCTCAAGGTCGATCTCTGGAGGTCTCTCCCAGTTGCCCGCCTGGAGGGTAAGGGTTTGGTAGCCAAGGGATGAAAAGGACGTGGGGTCTGCGTTGGATGGTCCGTGAGCATTTGGTCACCTAATACATCTGGTTTGGATAGGAGCCGAATGCCATCAGCTGTCCCTCATTCCAGAGACCCTCTGGTTTTTTAATTTTTAAAATAGCAAGCAGAAAAGTAAAATATCCTACAGAATCGACTATTTTCTCTTGGTATACAGTTCTGTAAATTTCAATTCGTGTGTGGATCAGCATTCTCACCACCACAGTGAGGATACAGAACACCTCTATGACCGCACCCCCCAAACTCTTTTGTTCTAGCCCTTTATGACCACATCTTCCCCACCTGCACGCCCGGCAACCGCAGATGTGTTCATCGTGATAGTTTTAACTTTTGAAGATTGTCGTACGGATGGGGTTGTATATTGTGTAACATCCACACTAACAACCTCTGCTCCAGCAGGGAACAACACGTACAGCCTCCTTCACTCAGAACGATGCCGGCAAGATTCCCGCAAGCTAGAATTCATCCCTTTTTGCTGCTGAGTCGTATTCTGCAGCTGGATGTAACCGCAGTCTGTCTGTCCGTTAACCCATGGAGGATGTTTAGGTTGTTTCTGGTTTGGGGCAGTTACGAATACAGCTGCTAAAACATCTGTGTACGTGCTTTTGTGTGAACATAAGCCTTCAGTTCTTTACGATAAATTCCCGGGCTCTGTGGAGAGGCTATGGCTGCCTTCTCACCAGCGGTGTGCGGGGGCTCCAGCTGCTCCTATCCTCCCCAGAACTTGGTATCGTCAGTGTTTTATTTTTAATTTTGGCCACTCTGATGAGTATGCAGTGTTATCTCATCGGGGTTTCCCATGCATTTCCCTGATGCAGAGTGATGTGGTGCATCTCTTAATCTGCTTATCTGCCACTTTATGGCCCCTTTGGTGAGGTGTCAGTTCAAGTTTTTGCCCACATTTCAACTGAGTTCTTTTTTTTATATAAATTTATTTATTTTTGGCTGCATTGGGTTTTCGTTGCTGCGCGCGGGCTCTCTCTAGTTGCGGCGAGTGGAGACTACTCTTCGTTGCAGTGCATGGGCTTCTCGTTGCGGTGGCTTCTCTTGTTGCGGAGCGTAGGCTTCAGTAGTTGTGGCTCACGGGTTCCAGAGTGCAGGTTCAGTCGTTGTGGCGCACGGGCTTCGTTGCTCTGCGGCGTGTGGGGCCTTCCCAGACCAGGGCCCGAACCCGTGTTCCCTGCATTGGCAGGCGGATTCCTAACCACTGCGCCACCAGAGAAGTTCTCAACTGAGTACTTAGTTTTCCTGTTGTTAAATTGAGAGTTTTTAAATCTACTCTGGATACAAGTCCTCTTTTGGATATATTCTTTGCAGATACTTTCTCCCAGTCTGTAGTCTGCCTTTTTATTCTCTTATTAATTATACATTTTTGTCTTCTGTTGATTGTGTTTTTGTGTCACATCTAAGAACTCTTTGCCTAACCCCTGGTGACAGGGGTTTTCTTCTATGTTTATAGTTTTACATTTGGATCTATAATCAATTCTGAGTTAATTTATGTATAAGGTTTAAGTTAATGTTCATTTTTTTTGCAAACACATGACTGATTGTTCCAGCACCATTTGTAGAAAATATGTTTTTTTTCATTGAATTTCTTTTGCATTTCTGACAAAAATCAGTTGGCTATACTGGTAGAGGTCTATTTCTGGATCCTTTATTCTTCCCTTTTAAAATTGTGTTAGGTCTTCCAGTTTCTTTGCCCTTTCATATAAATTTTAGAATCAGCTTGTCTCTATCTACAAGAACTTGTGCTAGGATTTTGCCTGGCTTTGCATTAAATCCATAGATCAGTCTGGGGAGAACTGACGTCTTACTGTGTTGAGCCTTCCAACCCCTGAATTCAGTGTGCCTCTCCATTAGTTTAGGCCTCCTCTTTTCTCTCTCATCAGTGTTTTGAAGCTCTCAGGACCCTTTATTCATTTGCCTGCACAACAAACTAACAACCTCCCGCCAAGCAGTAGGGGAGGGGAGGGCACTTGGGCCGGCTGGCTTCTCGGGACTTGCAACGGTTCCCTTGCTGGACTCTTCGCTGTGACCCCCAGATCCAGAGTTGCTGGGTCCTGCCAGTTCCTAAGTCTTTTGAGGATTTTGCAGAGAATGGCTGGTTCTCAGCTTCTCCATTACATGCTTGGGGTTTGGCTTCCTCACCTGTGTTGTGTCTGCACCACTTGCTCGTCCCTGTCCCAGCGCTCATGCTGGCTTCTCTTCTCTTCTCCTTGTCCTTGTATTTATGTCTTAAAAAAAATTCCTTGTGGTTTTAGGGCAGTTTGGTGAGGGGTGTAACCAGATGTATGTGTTCAGTCTGCCACTTGAACCGCATGACGTGATGTTTAGTTCATGTCCCCAGTGGGCTGAAGTCGCCCACACAAGGGACCATGGTGTCAGCGTCCCCGGCGCCTAGCCCGGGGCCTGGTACGAACAGGAGCTCGGTGACCATCATTCGAGCATGAGAGCCAAGGAACAGGACATTTTGATACACTGGTTGTATCACAGTTCATCTGTTCAAAGAGAATTCCCCTCACTCAGATTTTCAGTTGCCTGCCCAGCTGCTGCCACTGCAAACAGATTACAGGTTGGGAACTTGAACTTGCCAGAGGGCAGGTCCAGGAGAGAAAAGCAATAGGGGGTTTCCTTCCACTCTCTCTGTCTCATAGGGTTCCCAGACCCCATTCTTTGGAACAGAAAGAGAGCTCTGTCTCTCCATGCCTGGTGCATAATTCTGGGATTCAGGCTTCCTTTGCGTCTAGTCTGGGACATGCAGGAAGAGAATAAAACCCAGGAAACTCACTGGATTTGGTCTCTTTCTCCAAACTGCCAAACTGCCTTTTACTTTTCAGAAGCTGCTGCGTGCATCTCTGGAGGGTTTTTTTTTTTTTCTTTAGCATTTATTTATTTATTTAGGCTGCGCCGGATCTTAGTTGCGGCACATGGGACTTCCGTTGTGGCATGCGGGCTTCTTAGTTGAGGCATGCGGACTCTTAGTTGAAGCATGGCTTCTGTTGAATTCAGTGGGAGGTGCAGGGTGGGTGTGCTTATTCCGTTTAACCAGATTTGAGAGCTCCTCTTTTATTTTTCTTTTTGATTATTGATTTATAGATATTCTTTTTATTAATATATTGTGGATACAAGTCCTTTGTCAGATATATATGCATTGTACATATTTTCTGCCCATCTGGAGCTTGACTTTAATTTTCTTAATAGTGTCTTTGATGAAGTCCATCTTATCAACTTTTTCTGTTATGATTAGTGCTTTTTGTGTCATATCAAATAAATCATTTTTCCACCCCAAGTTTATGAAGATACTACCCTGTGTTTTCTTCTAGAAGAGGTATGATTTTAGCTTTTATGTTTAGGTCTATGATTCCTCTAGAATTAATTGCATTTTCCTAACCATAAAAATGGTATGTTTCTTCATTTAGATTTTCTTTAATTTCTCTCTGCAGTGTTTTGTAGTTTTCAGTGTACAGGTCTTATACATCTTTCATTTCTTCCTAAGCATTTTATGTTTTGATGCTGTTGTAGGTGATATTTTTAAATTTTAATTTTAATTTTTTAAAATTTAAAAAAAT